ATCATTCAGCTATCGCCTTGGTCGCACAACTGGAACAAGGAAATTTTCGAACTTCCTCGATAACCACTTATTCTACGAGTCTCGAACCATTGGACAAAGTGCTGTCTGCAATAGTTGCCTTGGTTACGGCTTGATAATAGGAAAAAAGACACAAAAGAATAACAATTAATTCGTTTTTGTGCCTGTGTCATAATATACGGCACACCCCTTAAGAATTGAGTGATCGAGCTCTCTGGTTCCTCTTCTCTTCTGTTATTTTAGTGACAAAATCGAGATTATACCGCGATGAACGATCAAGTAGAGGAAGACAAGGCGAAGGCGGCCGGAAAACTTGGCATTATGACTGGAGTAATAGCGTTAATCGAGCTGATATGTGGATTTATCTATCTCAACAAAGGTGGCCTTGACGGTTCTGGCCTGTGGTCTGGAGTTGGGGTAAATAATTATTGTTTTGCACTAATATTTTTTTCGTTGTCTACCGTTAGGTCTATAAATTAGTTTCCAGAGTTTTCTTTCTTCGTTTCATCTCAACAAGCGACTGATTATTTATGTTAGGTGGTGTTCAAGTGCACGTTTCTTTTAGTAATATCAGGATTCCGTATTTATATGCCGCTAAAGATTTCGTTTACGCTGACTTAGGATGTTGAAAATGTCACTTTGGATTCTCTTTTAATTACGAAACCAATTGCTTAAATGGTTTTCCACGACTTGAAAATAATGTTTGGTGGCCTCGTTGGACAAAGTTTTGCTTTCAAAAATTTTCAGTTTCTTTCGTGCCTTTCGCCTCAAAAAGCGGCAAAAAGTGTTCAGCAACACATTCCGCCCGCGCTGCGACCGTGGGGTTGCGCACGGACGGTTTCTGAAAATTTGTGTGCATAGATTTGAAACTATCTGCAGTGTCGCCGTTCTGGTGAAGATATTAAACGAGCCATTACTCATTTTTATAGAAGACCACCTGGGAAGGAAGGTGAATAACAACTAATGACCGAAGATGCACTCGAAAAAAAAATCTGTACTGTTTTTCACTTGGCTTGTATTGCTGTGTAATCATAAAGGCTAATGGTTGCACCAAAGGTACCTGCAAAAGTATCAAAAAAACAGCAAAAGAAGTTCATTATAATACACTGAAATCTATCGTTTGATTGAAATTTTCTGTCTCTACCCTTGTCTCATGTAACCACAGACCGTATAGTTCCAACTGAATATACAGCCAGGACAAATTAGTCAAGAGTTATATGTAATCGTTTAACAGAACGTTATAGCTAAAGGATGGCAATGATCCATGATTAAAATAAACACGAAGTAAATGAGAAAATATCAAGTGAAATTCCTTTTATGTGGCATGAACAAATTATTCGTTGATGTAACGTGACAGTTCTTGGTAGTTACGGTTGAAAAGACTGCTTACGGGTCCAAACACGACCCCCAAATTAACAATTTATATGCGACGCATTAGACTTGAAGCAATTTCCATTTTTAATGTAGTGCTCAAAACGAAGAATTATGTTTCTATGTCTTAATCATTCCAGTTTGATGTCAACCCAAGGATTTTTTTTTTCACACGAAACACTGTGTCATGGGTAGCTCGGCCGCGTTTGATTCTATAACTGAATCGTTCTTCCTAGCGTCACGTTCTTTCTCTCTTTCTTTTTTTCTTTTCATTTTGGCCTTGAACAGTCTCTAAACAGGCCTGGCGTGGGTACACAGTGCTTGACATGAAATGAGATCATAATTTATAAATCAGGCATGCCTGGGATGCGCTAACATATTTGTTTTCTTTTTCCTTCGCTTGCGCTTTTATTTTTGAGAGTACGGCTGCGTTATGCTTATATCGATCATGTCCTCTGGCCTTGACGAAAATCTTTAAACTTGGGCCGACGTGAAAACAAAATAGTGAGAACAAAACACAGAACATAACACGCACAAAAGGTAATAAGTTAAGTCGTATAAGTTCCCCGGAACCAGCTAATTATTCAGCAGACAGGTTCACTTGACTACGAGAACATTCTTTTGTTCGGCATGAGGAAAGAGTACTTTAACGTTCTGGTTGAAAGAATGGTCAGCATCCACTAATAATATTCACGTATGGGAAGAATTTGAGTCCACTTCAAGTTCAAACTGTGAAGACCAGACTGACGTTGTGTAAACAGTCCGGAATATCCCGATAAATTAGGACATCTGTGATGTCACGAAACTCACGTTTCAACCAATGAGAATGCGTGTTTTGAGTGGAGTGTTGTGTTTCACAACAAACCAAGAGATTCAAGATGGCTGACAAAGAGAGTTGCGAATACTTTTCTATGCCATGAATGCGGGCCTTCAGGAGGTATATATTTATCTCGAATTGAGTTAAATACTGTCCAGATTATAAAATAAAAGGAAAGTTTGTGTTCGCGTTCCATGTCACAGACAATTCT